TATTATTGTTTTTAAGATCTAAGCCACCGCCTGTCTCCCTTCTCCTCCCGGGCTGGTTTGTTTAATCTAAGAGTAGGTGGCAGGAGCGGGGGATTTATGGGGTTATTTGCAGGGAGCGGTGTAAGCCAGCGCGGGCGGGTGGGGGAAGGCAGGAGCTAGGCCCAGGGGCAAGCGAGGAGCGGCTCCGGGTGGCCAGGTTGCCTCTTTCGCAACCCAACCTTCCCTTGTGCAAGAGGCGGCTGCTGAGAATGGCCCAGCTCGTGTCGTGCAGCAGAGGCAGTCGATGGGGCTGGGGGAGGAGAGTCTGCCGGCCCACCATCCATAGGGATGGAGAGGGGAGGAGTTTTTCATCCCCCCAACTCCATCGAGCGAGAGGCAGATGTACCCCCTCCACCTCCAAACCTCGTGGAGATTTATCCCTCCCAGCCTCGGGGAGCCTGGCAGTCCCCTGCCCTCATCTCCGCCTGTATCCTCCCTGCGTGGAAAGGTTTCTCTCTCAGCTGCTTCCTCTCCTCCATGGCAACACAGCTGCTCCATCCCTCCTATATGGCTTTGATGCTTTAGAGCAGCTTCCCGCGGTGTGCCTGGCATCATCTCGTGGGTTCAGGGCGCTCCCAGCACCGGGCAGGTGCCACCAAACTGGGGAGCATCGCAGGGAGCCAGGGCCGCTCTTGGGAAGAGGGATGTTGGCAGGGAAGGTGCTGGGGTAGGAGAGAGGAGCATCCCCCATCTCCCGCCCGGGCATCCTCCTCATCCCCCTCTGCCAGAGCGGGGCATGGAGCCCTTGGTCCCCTGGAGTGGCTTTGGTGCTGGAGCCCCTGGGGAGAGCTCAGAGGTGGTGGGGGGACGGGTGGGATGTGCATGTACTTTCCCCAGCATCCACAACTTTGCAGCGGCAGGCTCTGGCTCGGGGGGGGCCATACCCGGCGGCATCCCCACGGCGGGGAGGGTCCCCTCAGCATCCCTGGCCGGAGCCGCTGTGTGGGGCCCATATCCGTCCCCGGCGGGGTGGAGGAGAGCACGGCAGGGTGGGGGCCATACTGGCCCATCTGTTCCCGGCTACGGGAGAGGGTACGGCATGGCGCGGAGGCTGCGGTTCCTCCAGCAAAGATTGACTTAAAAAAGAGACAAACCCATCCCAGCCCCCGGTCAGCCGGCCGGCGTTTTACTTTCCTAAACCTAAACCATACTTTTTTTTTTTTTTTTTTTTTCTTATCAGATTAAACACAACAACATAAAATGGATGTACACAGAGATAAAAATTGTTTACACAGCAGCATGGTTTCTGTCTCCCAAAAAAAAAAAAAAAAAAAAAAAAAAAATCCGGGGGTGGTTTTTGTTGTTGTTGTTTTGCACTTGTGAGTCACTTCCAGAGGGGAGCGGGAGCTGACGTGTGTTTTTTAAAAAGCCTCAAAGGTCTGAGCACGGCTCCTCGCACCGCATGTCTCGCCTGTGCCCGCTCCGGCCACCCCAATGAGGCTCAGCATCCCCGGGGGGGCTCAGCACCCTGGCTGCCCCCCTCAGCCCCGCTCTCCCCAGTAGCGCTGTCCCAGCTGCTCTAACACCATCCAAATTGAAACCAGTTGCTCAAAACTCAGTGTTATTAACCCTACAGGCAGAGGCAGGCAGAGTGCCTCTGTCTTTGCACGGAAAGCGGGCACACAACCATGTACCTGGCAGGAGAAGCGGGGCCGGGGGGTTGCCGTTCTCCAGAGACATGGGTCGGACCCAGGGGTCAGTGCGGGGACCGTCCCCAGAGGGAGAGGTGGCCCAGGGGGGTTTGCAGCACCCATCCCAGAGCCGCGCTGGGATTTTCTAGCCCAGTCTCCCGGGCAGAGTCTCCACGCCCCGCGCTTACGGGCGGCGAGACCGGGACGCTGCTCTCGCAGCCCTGTTTCTGCCGGGAAATGCCACATCACCGCTCGGAGCGGGTGCCCCCCCTCTGCCCGGCCATGGTCACCCGAGCGAGGAGCAGAGCAGGCGCCCTGCGCTCGGGGTCACCCGTAAGCACTGGGGCTGTGGTAGCAATCCCACTCCCTTTCCAGCCTGGAGCCCATCCTCCCGGTTCCTGAGCTGGGAGCTGGGTGTGGAACCGGCCCCACGGCTCTGGAAAAGCAGGTTTTCCCTACGCCCCTGGGGAAGCATGGAGGTGGAGAGGGGAAGATGGAGCCTTTTCCTCCGTGGGATTTCCCCGTGAGCGAGGAAAGCCATCCAGCCCTTTGGGATGTGCACAGGGGAGGGGGACAACTCAGCACCCCGAGGACAAGTGCCAGGCGGTGCCTGTCCCTAAACTCAGCCGGGGTGGCAGGAGCAGGGTCAGGGGTGCAGCATCCCACCCCGGGCGCAGCAGTGCCGGGTGTCGAGGCCGGCTGGGGGGGAGCAGGGCTGCGAGAGCACGCACCACCCTTCCAGGGCTCTGGGACCCCCGTGGGGATGCCCGGAGGCCCCCAGTGCCGTGCCACCACCTCGTCCTGTTCCAACTTGCCAGTGCCGGCAGCGTGTCTGGGATTTCAAGGACTCCAGATTAAATCTGGAGCCGCTCTCCTCCTTTTGGGGAAAGGGGACGGGCACTGTGGGAAAGGTTGGCCAAGCTGCTGCTCCCCAAATGCCTGCTGGGGACCCCGGGAGCTGCCTTAGCACCAGGGCACTGCCTAATTCAGCAGGGTGTGCGTGCCATGGGCTTGTGGCAGGATCCTGCCCGGCAGCCGGTTTGTTTTGCTCCCCA